AAAACTGAGTAGTTCATATTTAACAGCTAAATAAATAAATGAAGAATATACGCTTCATCGTCAATCAATAATCTCAGTAAAATTCGTACACTCCCTGCATTTAAGTAGTCTCCTAGATAATCCGTTTTTGATTACTGACAATCTTCACGTAACTGTCAATTAATTCTTATGTAGTTACTCAAACCCAGGCTATAGTTTACTACAAGTGCATTTGACAAGTAACTCGCTGACTTCGGTGCTTCTCATTTGTAGCTAGCTTCAGGATAGTTGAGCTTAAGCTTTTCAGCTATTATTGTGTCAGATGCTTGTTTGGAGTAGTATTTCATGATATATTAAGGAATTTAGTGACGGATAAGTGAACCTGATAGACATCTCAGGGTAATTACGTTCGATATATGTATCAGATGGTTCAGATCTCTTTCTGCATATACTGAATTCGGAAATTCTAGGCTATATCAACCATTTTTCGGTCATGAAATGTAGCTTCCATTTTTCGATGCTATCTTTCTGCTTTCCCTCTTGTTCCCAAGTTGTTCTAACCTACATCAAATGAATGATTGTTTTACTGGGCTTTTAGCTATGGAAAAACTGCCTATTATAGTGAATTAATCCTAGTGAGAAACAAAGTTCGTGTTTAAAGTTGATCGCATGTGTTCAGTTTCACTTTTGTTTGAATTCAATGCGAAAAACTGACCATAAGTGAGAAAAGTAGGTGTATAAATACATTGGATTACTTGGATTACTTGTAATTTTTAGTTAAATTCTATCACATGAAATTTATCTTTTGCAGCCCCTTTAGCAACATGATACCAGGAATAAGTCATTTGTAGAAAAGGATTAAGATATAGTAAAGAAGACCAAATCTACTCATTATTTCAGAGCAACTCTCTCAGCTGTAGTCTACTTAGACCAAACTTCGGACTTTGACAGGTGCTTAAAACAGTGTATTGAAGCTGCAGGCAGAAGTAATACTGCAGATAAAATAGGGTTTAATTAAGTAGATTTATAGATTTTTCGCAGAAAGTTGTTTTCAGCATTTCTAAAGACTAACAGTTTTTGTGTTTACTAATTGTTGAGGAGGAGAAGAATCTGAGCAACTAGGAAGTTTATAATATTGTGTTAATGGCGTTAGGTTGAAAGTGTCTCCTTGTTTCTTCTAACTGCGCTTCCTGCAAAAACGAAGATCTTCGTAAATAGTGTCTGAAGTAGATGGTAATTTGAGTATGCTATACTACGAAACAAATTTATTTTCTAGCATGCCTCCATAACATCTTGATAAATCATACTTTCTAAGATTTCGTATTTATCAAGTCTGTAAATGAAACTGTATGAGATCAGTATTATTTAATGAACGGCATTTTAAACACAAATTATTTCTCATAATCGCATCAAGACTAGGTATAGTATCATACCACTATGCGTTATATTAAATAATCTTACTTTACCACATGGTACTTATTCTACGTTTGGAATAAAACTAACAGAATTTGAAGTGAAAATGCTGAAATCTGAAGTGTATACTAATCGTTTGGCTAACCCAAGAGTATTTTCAGACTGGGAGTTCTCCAAATCCGTAGAAAATCTTACAGCACATTTCAGTTGATAAATAAACAGTACAATAATTTGACTGAATAAAAATGTCCAGACGAATTATCAAGTTTACATTATTTTCAGCCTTTTAATAATTTACGTGAGCAAGAAAACCTCCAGGTGGAAATATTCATTCTTTTTGACACAGTTATTCAAAACAAACTGCAGTGTATTAAAAATTACCAATATAAGCAGCATTCATTATCTTGGTGAAAAAAGGCAAATGTAAACAATGCACATACTATTAAGCATAGTTTTTATTATTGGTTCAGAAATAGCAACGCAGAATTTTCTTGTTTGGGAATTCCGCTTGTCTAGACTAACTGAAGTAAATAACCCTATTGTAACATTTTAGATCACGTCATAAGAGTCACTAGGCAGGAAATGAAATTAACCAAATCGAAAACCCTCATATTGACATAAATAAACTTCTTTCATGACAAATTTTTTTCTGTGACTCGAGTTATTTATAATGATAAAATTTATCTGCATACAGAGTGATTACTGTTTGGAAAGTAACATAACATATGGCTCATGTAAGTAATTATGCCATCGAGAAATTTAATGAAATCATCTTGATAATTAGGCAACAATGGATCCTGTACCGCTGCTTCGTGAAGTGAGTTACCTGTTGGAACGACTGCAAACTTTTAGATTATAATTCTTATTATTTTCATGGTACAAGATATACATCTTAAAAGTAGAAATGTTTCAGTGCTTAAAACTTCTGGTGGTGAAATTTAAGATTCATCTCAGTTTCCTATTATTCGTAAAGGTCAGTGACTGCCAAAGTGTATCAAAGTAGCAGCACTTCCCCACTTTTTCATTTACGTGACTATTCTAAAGTTTGACTGTTACAATATTACATAAATGCGTGTTAATGTTGACCAGTTTGTTAGTATATTGCAGTAAGCGCTTACTGCTAAGCTCAGATAGGACATACCTTAAAAAAAATACTATTGCTGAGACCCTTATTTCAGAGTGAAGTTTCATAAAATGCTCATCATTTTGAAGGATATCATGCCAGAACAGTATGTGAGGACAGTTGGTACGAATAGACAGAGAAGGAAAGGCGTTTTGTCGAAAGTCATACTTTAAAATTTTATTTGTTTAGGAAGAATATTAGCTTGTCATTTGATGTTCAACTGCTTACCGCAAACAATGAAAATGCAGACCCGCTGAAATCTTTCGATATAACAAAGTATAACCTCTTTTAGTGGAGGCATTTCATATCAAATATTCGCTTATAATAAGTTTCTTGATGTTTTCGTGTATAGCTGGGATCGGCGGTG